CACAACCCATGTTGGTTGCTTGTATCTATCTACATTGATTACTAGTTATATTCAATTTAGATAAGTGTAAAAGTTATTGATTTAATAATCTAATATTGTTTTAATAACTTAATAATTATCAAACACTAAAAATTAAGAAGCTAATATTATTGAAATATGAACATATAACAAAACTAACAATATTATATAGGATGAAAAAAGCTATAAAGAAAAATATATTTTAGAATATCTTTATTTCATGCAAATAGCTGATTTTTTTTATTTTAGTTAAATGTATTATATTTATATATGTATTTTTGGTTTACTATAGGTATATTTCTTACTTTTATTTGCATTTATGGTATTTGTATTTTTTCTTGTATGTTATATATATGGCATTTGTATTAGAAGTAAACTAAGGCAACATATATAAGAAGTAGACGACGTAAATCTAAAACCTAAACCTAAACTTCCTACTTCCTCCCTCAGCCGCACTCTCCCTCCCCATTTTCTTATGTCTTTCTTCCACCTTCAGTAGTCGGCCTTAATTAAGGCCGCAAGAAAGATAAATAGGAACAAGATGGTATCCCTACTGGTTCTCTATTTATAGACAAAAATTTAACGTGTTGGTTTGTCTCTTTCCGGGTAAGCTCATGTCTCTATATCGTAGAGTTTCTGAATCTTCTTACATTTACTTGGATTTAGATTTTTAACTTCAATTTACGAGTTATTCCAGCAATTTAAGAGATATTATGCCTTATATTTTATAAGGAGTGCGATTTTGAAGATTTGATAGGTTTTGTGTCTTACAAGCAATTAACTTGGGTTTCTGCTTCAATTATTTGTTTTTGATTTACAGGGTACTCAAGAAAAATGTGCCTTTGAGAAATTTCAATCTCTTTTTATGCCAAATTGTAAGTTTTACTTCTTTTTTCCATCTCCTTATATTTATGATGTTTATTTAAATGCTTTCTCATTTGTCTTCTGTGTTTGAAAAAACTATAAATCTTTTTTCACCTATTTCATGGCTAAGTATTTTTTCTTATTCCATGATTTATTGAATATTTTTAATTAGTAACTGTATATGCATCTTTATATGTTTTGAGAATTCAAATATAAGTTTCTCACAAGATCATGTTATTTCATTATTTCAGTCTAGTGAGTGTGCTTCATATATTCTTAGATGCATGAAGATCAAGGGGGTGCGATGAAGGTGGCAACATGAATCATCAAGCAAATACTTATGTTCACTGCAAAATTTTGTACATTATTTCTGATCTATATTATAATCAAGCCTCACATTGGCAAGTTTTTCCTTCAATTTTTGATTATTGTACAAGGCTTATGTATTGCAGATGCTATTAACTGATTAGTACAAATGTGTATTTGGAAATTTATTTTGTGAAACTTTTTAAATTTTAGTTTGTGCGGAATAAGTTATTTCTCATGCTTAATATGTTATTAGTTTTAATATAATATGCACGACCATAGTATAATTAGAAAATGTTAGAAAAACTCAAATATCTAAGAAACAAGAGATTTGTGAGAGAAAATTTTGTCACCATAAAAAATTAATTTTTTTGTCAAAAAATTAAAATATAATAAAAATAATATATCCCTTGTAAATCTTCTACTCGTACAACAAAAGGAACCGAAAGGGATTGAAGATTAGAGAGCCTAGCTAATATATCTACAGCTGGTGTCATAACTGGTGCCTGGGTCCATGTTGTTTCGTCTCTTCTCATGTCCAAGCTTCTTAAACCAGCATAGCCGTCTCTTCTCATGTCCAAGCTTCTTAAACTAACCAAGTTTTCTAGGCCTTGGGGCACTTCCTCGATAATTGTGCCATAAAGGTCCAATTCAATGAGGTTCTTTAGCTTGTTCAATGGCGGCACAAATCTGAGTTTCAGACAACCTCGTAGCAGCAATGCAGAGAGGCTTACCAGATTTGATACAGAACTAGGCAACTTTTCTATATCAGTGTAGCTTAAATCTAAAACACGTAGACCTGGCATCTGCGCAAAAAAAGGTTCTACAACTTGATTCAAGCTACGATTTCCTCGTAATAACAAAGTTGTGAGCCTTGGAAGTACATGAGATAAGGGCAGTGAAACTTCCTTTAAATCATTATTCATCAAAGCAACCTTGTCCAAGTCCTCTGACCATTCTTGCTCCCACGGTACTTCATGCAATTGTGCTCCCACTTTCACCATCCACTTAAATTCATCTCTTGCAATTTGCAATGCCATCTCTCTCACCAAATCATGCATCTTCAAACATTTCTTTTTTTCATTACGATTCACTACACTTTCTAATAAGCACGCCCTTTCCAATTTGTTCAACACTGCATTACCTTGGTCAAATTCTGCTCTCCTGCTGTTCCTTCTGTCTAGCAATCCTTCAACAATGAAGCGCTGAATCAATTCATCTCTCTCAATTTCGAAGTCTTCAGGATACAAACAACAATAGAGGAAACATTTTTGTAATCTTGGATCCCTCAATCTGTTATAGCTATAGCAGAGAATGGGAAACACTTTATCATTCATAGTCTCCATTTGCATACAAGATTCTTTGAATTCTTCGAATGCATCCCTCCACTCAAAAACATCATTCACTCCTCTCATACTTGCAGCCATAGTAATTAACCCTAGTGGCAATCCATCACATTTCTTTGTCATTTTCTTTGCTATTTTCTATTTCCATTGGAAGATCTCCATTGTGATCAAGAGTCTCCACAAATAATCCCCATGATTCGGTCACTGAAAGAGTTTCTACTTTTACTTTCTTTTGGCAGCCAATCCTAGTTATGATCATTTACCTCCACCAATATCCAAAGGAATTCCCGCCTTCTTTACATCAAAATGGGTCCATACATCATCCAATATGAGCACAAAGTTTATCTTCCTCTCCAAACTTTGGTACAAAATGGCTGCCCTTTTCTTATCGTCATCCTCAGTTGAATCAAGTTTCAGAGCCTTAGCAATCTCACTTTGCAGTTTAGTAATGCTAAAATCTTGTGATACAGTGACCCAATAAACGTTACCTGAGAATCTTGAATCTTTGAGGAGATGGTTATGAATATGCTCCGCAAGAGTCGTTTTCCCCACACCCCTCATTCCGTAAATGCCAATACTTGAAACTCCATTCAAAGACAATAGCACCTGCCTCATACTCTGGTAAAATATTTGGCCTTTCACGTTTGTTGTCACCAAAGGTTGTATCTTTTCTTCATTCACATTGAGCAAAATCCCTTCAGAAAATTTACCTTGGTCTAGGAGATTTTCCACTTCTTTATGAATTTTATCAGCATCATTTGACAACCCAATGCGCGAAATGTTGGAACTCTGTTATATTTTTAGCTCAAAGCATTTGAGGTCATGCTCTAGTTTTTGTATGCTGCTCTGCCAATTGTCAACCTCTGTCTTCCGTTTCTTACTTGAATGGAGTTCTCCGTCTTTTGCTTGAACCATGACATCATCCCTTCGACTGATCAATGCTTCCATCTTTCTTTTAAGGGTTTCCATTTTTTCCTCGAGTCCCATGTATGGTTCCCATACTTTTTCTTTGAGGAATGATAATGCCTCCATCACTAGTACTAACAAAACAAAGCCAGCAGCAAAAGAGAATACTTATTAGTACTTCAACCTTCAGGTGCTGGAAAAGTTTTTCATCTTGAGCAAACTCAGTAGCACGTGAAGTTTGACATTTGAATCATCGCTTCAACAATATATGATGATTCCTCTTAATGTATACAATTGCTAGCCAGAGGCGAATCCAAGATTTAAATTCTATGGGTTCAACAGTTAAGGTTCTTACCATGAACTCATTTTATTTATAAAATTATGGTTCATATCTACTATTTGTTACAATTTTAGTGAATTTTTCATATAAATTATGTTCCACATCAAAAATTATGTGTTCAATTGAACACGGTGTCAGTAAGCTGGATACGCCCCTGTTGACAGTAACTTAGTCAGATAAAATAATTCAACTAATTTCTTGTTACTTGAAAGGAAATTACTGCAGGAAATATCAGGCAATTACTCAAGGAGTTTTGAACTATTAATCTTCTGTTCACTAAAGCTTCTACTTCTAGAAACAATCAGTATCTTCTAGCTCATTTATCCATAATTGTGAGACGAATATGCGACTAAAATTGGCAGATCTAGTGATTTATGGTAATATCAATATACGATTGTAGTAAATTCACTCGAACACAAACTATACAGGAAACAGTACATATAGGAAAATAAATGAACTGAAAGAAGTAATACCTTCTCGTCGTTGAAAGGCTGAGCTGCTATCTGGTCAGATTTGATGGAAAAAAGAAGAGCTGAGCTGCTATCTGTTCAGATTTGATAGAAAAAAGAAGAAAAAATAAATTGAGTGAATCTTACGCTTGCATGAACAAGCATAGTTACCAATTAGTAATATGCCAAAGCATTTACCAGCCGAGTAGAAAAACTTTGGTAGAGTTTAATTGGGTTAAATTTTTATAGCAAGGAAGAAGGAAAGCTCAAACTAAATGTGACTATTGCTTTATTTACATATGGAAATTTTGGTTCCTATACTATATAGGAAACTATATTACCAAATATGTTCATAGTTGCATATTACCGCCATGCTAATAGTATTTCTACAAAATATAAACAATTTATTAAATAAAGAATCATTGTAGCTGTATGCTTCCTTATTTAGGCGCGCTAATATTGGAGAATTAAATATTCTTCCAGATATTTTACAACGCAAATCACGTGACAAGTGAACGTCAATTTCAAACATCTCATCTTCTGCAGTTTTCTGCCTTTGGGCTTTGATTTCTTCACTACTATTACTTGGTGAAGATACATTCTCTTCCTCCCTTTTCCTCTTCTTAATTTTCAGAACTGACGCAAACTCATCCATCAAATCTTGATTTTCATCACCAAACCAAGAACTTAATAGCATGTACTGACTCCCAAACTTTTATAGTATGGCTAAGCATCATGATACTTCAATAATTATTGCAATTTTGGATATCACCATGTTCTTGTATACAGGAATCATCTTGCTCCACCTCCACTCTTCGGGCATCTTCTGCGTTCTAAAAATGACATTAAATAACCTAGTGAGCCACTCCAATCCCACCTTGCCCGCGCTCTTCCAAAACTCCACCGGAATTTTATTCGGCCCGGTCGCTTTGCCCTTGTTCATCTTACGCATAGCCCCCTCAACTTCATCAACTCTAATCTGCCTACAATACCCAAAGTCATAACGACTCCGGAAGAGTTCCAAGTCACCCAGTACAATGCTCTTGCCCCCCTCCCCCCGCGTCGTTTAAGCGACTATGGAAGTAGGTCTGCTATCTCCAACGGATAAGCCCCTCATCCAACAAAACTTCACCTTTTTCCTTCATGATGCGCTTCACTTGGTCCAAGTCACGGGCCTTCCTTTTCCGCGCCTTGGCTAATGTGCACAACCTCTTATCCCCACCTCGGCCCTCGAGTTCCTCATATAAACGACTAAAAGATGCAGTCTTGGCCGCCATAACTGCTAGCTTTGCCTCTTCCTTAGCCAACTTATATTGCTTCCTATTCGCCCTCTTCTTCTCCCCATCTACACTTTCCACTAGTTTCAGATATGCTGTTTTCTTGGTTTTCACTTTTCCTTGCACCTATCCATTCCACCACCAGTCTCCATTGTGACCGCCAGACTAACCCTTTGAGACCCCTAATACCTCTCTCGCAGATTCCCTAATCCACTGCACAGTTGTGGTCCACATAGCGCTTGCGTCCCCACTACTCCTCCAAGCTCCTATAGTCCGCGCTATACGTCCCCAACACCGATTCAATTGTTCTAAAAAATGAGGCTTTTCGTTGTTCCGGAACAATGAATTTAACAATACAGTACAATCCATTTTAAATAAACAATCAAAACAAACATTGTATGAGATAACAATAAGATACGATACAATGAGTAACAACCATCCAAACAAGTTGTGAGCCTGTTTGGAAAGCCACATAGAAATAGGATTTGGGTGTAATTGGGTACAATTATACAGTTTGGCATGTTTGTCTGGCCAGGTAATTAGTTGGCCAACATGGAATTAGATATAATTGGAGAGGTGTAATTACACTCTCCAATTCTCAAGGGGGAGGTGAGAATTGGTGGTAATTATACTGTGTAATTACAAGGTTACTTTTTAATCTTTTTCCTTTTTGTTTTTGTTTTAATTTATTTTCTTTATAATTTTTATTTCCATTATTTTAATTTCTTAATTTTTACTTTTTAATTTCTTTTTTAATTTTAAAATATTTTTTTATATATTATTTATCTTTTATTTCTCTACATTTACTTCTTGTGATTCTACGTAATCGCTCGTATATTTTATTTTGTTTTATTTTCTTTATTTAGCGTAACTGCACTATTGTTATAGTTTTTGCAACTACACCTCCTAATATTAGAAATAATGAATCATTAACAAACTTGGCATATAATGAGTGATGTCATTTAAGTAGAATTTCGTTTTTGAATGATGTTAAAAACTTATTATATTTTCTATTAAGTTTTATTGGAACTTATTTTTATTATGTTAGAATTTGACATATGTTAAATTTATTTTTGAAATTTTGAAGTTGTGTTATATTTATGGTTCCAATATACGTATTTTAGTCGTATCAGCTTGTTATTTCACATTGCATGTTGTTCATTTTTTAGTTAGAATTGATAGATTAGTTTTGTCAAATATTTGCATAATATTATGACATTATATTTATAAATAATAATTTATTTTATCAAATATGCATTCCATGATGTTCTTACAAAACGTATGTTTTTAATTTTTATAATTAATTAAATTAAATATTATTAATATAGAAAATATTCATCAATTTTTTATACTATTAGTTATAAATATATGATTACTAATTAGTTTATATTCAAAAAAAAAAATGTGCATCTTAACTACCAAATCTAATATCATTTATACTTATAATAAATCTTTTATAAGTATATATTTATTATATTAACTTTTAAAGTTTTGATAATTTCTTCATTTTAAATTTAATCTAATTGTGTAATTATACTTGTGCAACCAAACTGTATGCTTGTAATTACACTGTAATTATATTATGACGAACAAATATGCCATCGTAATTACTAGGCTGTGTAATTAATAGGTTGTGTAGTTACTGCCCTTGTAATTACGTACACCAATTCTAATTACCGGGTCACTTTTCAAACATAATACTAATTGTATTCTAATGACAGGTCACCTCTACCTATGTTGGGTGATTTATGTTAACTAAAGTTTAGTCTTCTGTACGTTAATTCGTTGCAAGTAAAGTTGATATATTACATACAGAATGCCACGAGCAACCAACTTTAATATAGAAAACTACGTTCAATATTGTCATCAATGAATAGTTTATTTGGCTCTAGAGATAGCCACTAATGAGTTACACAAAATATTTTTTTTTTAAATATGACTATATTTTTGAAGATAGTAACATTTTGGTATTGAAGTTTTATTACTAAATGATAATGAACTTATTGGAAGGCGTTCAACCAAAAAATAGTATTGTAGTAAAAGTAATTAAATAAATATTTTGGGTTACTAACAACGGCTATTATTCACTTTTTCAAATATAAATGATACAAATAACAAACAAATAACAAGGAAATACATTGAAAGAATAAAGGAAATAAAATCTTATTAATAGTTGTAGCCTTTTTTCATATGAAAGTAATATTTGTTTAATAATAGAGAACTGTAATTGAACAATCTAATTGAGAGAATATCTTAGTAATTTTACGACGGAATACAAGGTATGGGAATGAGGGGTTTAAATAGTTACTAAAATTTATTTCATTAATGATGCGTTTCACAATTGGTTTTAGGGATGGTAATGGGGGAGGGGAGGGGGTGCGGGGCGGGTTTGGCAAAATCCACAAAAATTTTAACCCGCCTCGTACCGCTTTGACCCGCCCCGCTTAACTTTTTTTTTTTCTTTTTTCTCTAGTTATAGAAAAAAATTGCTCTCAGAAGCGTGGATTTTTTTATTTATCATTTTCTATTACAATATGATAAAAAATTGATACTTTTTTTAATCATTTTTTCTCTAATAAAATGATATTACATAAGTCTCATGAATACTATTTTGAAATGATAAGAAAAACAAATATTTACAATATAGGAATGGATTTAGGAGAAAAACAGTAAGAAAAAATGCAATAAACCCCACGTTGACACTGCTATTATAATTTCAGCCTCATTGACTAGCTCTGTCTTTTACTATCATTTCCTATTACAATACTATATCTTCCAAAATAAATGGGTTACTATCATTTCTTATTACAATATGATAACTTGACTTATGTAATATCATCTCGGTGAGACTTATGCAAATATTCATGCTAGTGAAGAAGAATGTGAAATTGTAGTTGAAATGATTGTTTTATTTAAAAAAAAAAAAAAATTCAAAGTTGCCCCGAATTAAACCCGCAACTCGCCCCGCATCCGCATAAGAGTAAACCCGCCCGGCCTCATTGCATCCCTAATTATAGAGAAATAGCCTAGAGTCATTAATATAGATATTAATAAGGCAGAATACATAGTTTACTCATTGATCTTGTACCAAAATCCCTCTTACACACCTCTTCACCACAGGGACTGTCGCACCCCATTTTTTCCCTTTTGCGGGGAAGATCGGGTTTCAACATTCATGGAGGAACAACTCGTTTCCTATTGGGAATTGGGTGTTTTGAAGAGTCGCCACCTAACGGGTTATGGTGTGTTAGGGTACCTAGAACGATTAACTCATGAACTAGTTTGCATCACCAGAGATTAGGGTAAGGGCTCGAAATAACCTTGAGGGGAAGGTGTTAGGCACCCCTCGCGGTCCACAACAGTGGGTCCCGGCTGAACTTAAACTATATGAATTAGTCAATTAACAAGCAAGCAAGTATTTGCAAATAAAGTGGCTTTCCCCATCTAAATGCATATATGATCAAGGAAGTTTAAATAATGAAGGTAAAGAGATTTGGACAGCTTATGTATACGTAAAGAAAAGGGAAGTTTAGAGACTTTAAACACATATGGAATTGGTAAAGGGAAGACCTAGATTGATTAGCCTACATGATTATACCCATGCAATGCCCGGTAATCACTCCTCAATGAGAGGGGCTACACGTCACATTAACGCGCAGGTCATCATATCCTTTTACTACCCATTACCCTCCCCTTAGTGGTTATATGAGCGAGTTTAATTAACGACCTCTA